AAGAGGCTGGTGGGAATGTAGGCTCCGAGAGCAGGGTAGCCAGTGTGGTGAGGCGTGAATTCAAACCAGGTATCTGTGGGGGGGAGCCAATCCAAGAATGAGTTCCCAGCAGGGCACCTGGCTCCTAGCCTGTGCTCCAGAGAAACCCACGGAGTGAGGGATTCTAACCAAGATGCTGCATGGTCAGACAGGTGTGGGAAACAGAGGACTGGGAAGAGAGGGTATGTGACTAAATTCTCCAAGTTCGTGATTGATGAACCTGGGAGGCCAGGATGCTACGGAGGGCAACCTTCACCTTTGTGAACTGGACATGAGGTCCAGTCACATTCTCCTGGCTAAAAATCATTGTCCCCCACCTGCCAATAGTGGTGCTACTTTAAAAGATGCCCCTTACAAGCACATGGCTAATTACTAAGTGGCCTGGCACCCCTAGCTGTAGGAGCAGACATGTTGCTATAGTTCTCCCCACCCAGGGGACAGGTGACTCCCTTCTACCTGCCCCCAGCACAATGAACTCAAGGACATCTAGGTTAGGATACTACCCACCTTGTGAAATATGCGTTGGTCTGTAGTTGGGCGGGGGGGGTGGGGGGGGTGGGACGACTTGCATGTCCAAGGCTATATAAGTTGGTGATAGGATACATTCTCTTCTCTCTCTTTCTATATATATATTCTGATCCCATGGAGGAGGTGAGCACACACTATATTCTCTGTCTGTCTTTTCTATTTCTTCTTAATTGTACAACCGCTCCTTAGAACCCGACCGGTTGTGGGTGGCTGGTTTCCGCTCACAGACAGGGATTGTGCAACTTGGAGCATTCCTTCTCAGACCTTCGGCTCTGTATTCAGCCCAGAGCAACTTGTTGCTATCATGGTCTCTAACATTTCCCCACACTTGAGCCTCAATGCCATCTCCATCTCCCTCCTCCTCTCCATCTGATTGCCGCTGCCTCTCTCTGGTCTGGGAGTAAAGGGGAGAGGGAACTCATGCTGAGACAGGT